CGAAGCTGGGAAAATGGTATGTATCACCAACGCGATTGCTGTTCTATTTAGATAGTACATGATCTAATGTTCAAATTTCTATAGTATAAGGCGATTTCATATTATCATGGAAAGATTAATTTAGAAGCATGATTCACTTGTAGTGGAAGAGTCTCAGGTATGACTCACTTGCATTAGCAGAGTATCAGGTATGACTCACTTTGAGCTAGAGTGTTTCAGATATGGCTCATAATTGTACATTATAGTTGTTTAGTATGTGGTTGCCTAGCAGCTAAACATTGTATAATCTTGTAAATTGTTTACAATGACTCACTTTAGGATACAGGTCTATATAAATATCTCACACCTGTGAGTCATAGTGCTAACAGGGATGTGTTCTATGCTATGGTAATGTAAAGAAGAGTACAATATAAGCCGCTTATCTAGTGTTTAATATTAGAAATAACTTATTTTAGTTTTTATTATAAGTACTATAATTATTTTAATATAAGTATATCTTGACTATATAAAATGAAGAATTACATAATATTATGACAAATAATAATAGGAATAGACTTCTGTTTGACAAATAGAAATTACAAGATAGTAAAGTACTTAAAGTAGAATAACTAAACTCTAACTTGAGAAATCTATTTACTAACATACTACTTTAGTTCTCTTACATGTTCCATGTATTTTTAACTAAAAAATTAGAGAGTTGTGTTCTGTAACTATTGTATTGAGAAAATGAAAAGTACTTAATAGTATCATATATATCAGCATTGTCTGTCTATCAGAAAACTATTTGTAGGATATATATGAAAAAATGTCAGATATTATGTGAGAAGTGGAATAGAGATATACTGTTAAGTAATTATGAAGACAATAGTTTTTAGTTCTAAAGTACCTGAACTCAAGACCAAAAGTAACAGAATAAAATTACCCCTATCTACAGATGTTGTAGGGTAATTTAACATGGAGGAGCACTATGAATATATCTATTTCTATTAAGACCAAAGAGTATTTCAACTAAACTAAGTCATAATCTGCTACAGTTATTATTCCATCTCTTAGGACAAGATGTATATAGACTTCTACAAATAGTTATAGTTAGTAGAGATTGTAGAAGTACTGAGTAAAGAGTTTTGTTCTAATATAATAAAGTAGCTACTCAGCTCTCTGTATAACATTACAAGAAGAAAATTAATCAACTAGTTGTTGAGTTATTATATGAACTAGTTTGTTAACTTAGTCGACTTGACAAGCAATTGATACGAAACTGATTGCTTCATATTAGAATACTATTAAGTAAATTGTTAACTAAATACTCTATAGCCTTAATTGGAAAACCAATCAGAAACATTCAAATAGAAGATAATTGTACAATATTTTAATAGTAAATTAAGACTTTAATACAGAAGTAATGTGGGAATATTTAGTGTCAGCTGGTAATTGTACTTGAAAAGACAATAAATATTAGATAAAATATGTCTGAATCACTTAAATACTATTATAGTATAATGTAGTTTGTAAATGTTTAATTGTATTATATCAATATTGAACTACCTTTCTTACATAAGACAATTATCTAGCATTGAAGAAAAGATTAATATATCATACCAGGATTCTACTCATGAGATTCCATCTAATGTTAAGAGTATGCTCAACCTTCAAAATAAATCTTTACCAAAGTCGAAAAATATAGATAGTTACTCCAATACTCGCGATGACTTATCTAAACAAACATCAGAATAATGTGAAGGAAGTGAATATCCGGGAAGTACCGGTATTCTAACAGTATAGGGATTAGCTTCTAATTAATTGAACTGCTGTGCAATTTGGAGTCTCATACTCAATAATAAATAGAATGATAGGTGGAGTTCAGGACTGCCTTATACTGTCAGAACATTAGTCAGTGCAGGTCCTGACTGTGTTTGAAAAAGAAGTCAATAGTTTGCAGGTATGAGAAACTAGATGAGTGAGATCATCCTCCACGGTTGAATCTTGTGAAGTTAATAGTACAAGCACTTGTGTCTCACTGCACTAAAGAGTATACATTAGGATAACACTGGCTAATAAGATTCCTGAATCGTAATCCTACTCTAACTACTAAACTGAATAGTCATTTAGACTAGCAGCAAGCCCCTACTAATAATCCTAAAATTATTAAAAACTATTTTCAAACGGTAAGCTTGAAAGCACTTTCAAGATTAAATATTAAGCTAATACAAGGTAATTAGTTAAAAATAGTGGTCAAAGACCATGATATACAGCCATATAATATGTATTATATGGATAAAAAAGGTTATATGATGAGAGTAGTACTGTGATAAAAAGTAATTTGTAAAAGAGGGTTACATTCCTCAAAATTAGCTCATAATATTTTTCATGAGAGTGTGGCAGTGGTCAAAATATTGAGCAGTGATGGATGAGTCTGCCAGCCTATAGTAATTAAAGGAAGACTGTATACTACATGGGATAGTATGAGAGACTAAAAAAGAAGAACTTGGTCAGCTTTCAAGTATTAGAAAAGATGTAGAATATGGAGAAAACAAGGTTAATTTGGATAAAGTACACTTTTGCTATTGAGACGAGAGAATGGTAAGCAATTACCTATTTTGTTACCTTCTATTTTACAGATATTAATATTACTAATATAAAGTATCAATTATTTCTCAGAGTAGGTAGTGGTTTTCATCTCTTACTTCTTGATGGACATGTCTCCAATTTCAACTGGGATTTTATAACTTTTGACTAGTCAATAGAATTATTCTGCTTTACTTACCTGTCCACTATACTTATCTGCTTCCTGAGTATTAATATGGCCAGTATGATGTATTGCAACTGGGAAAGGTCATTAGTCTGTCTGAACGGCATTTTGTAGCACGAGAACTAAGAACTCCTTTAAAACCCAACAAACATGATCTGGCCTAAAGAATAACATGGGTGATCTTTCCAGACCCAATATTCAAATCCCTCCAATTGAATGTGAAGCCTGTGAGTAGTCGATAGACAGGAAACAGAAGGTATTTTACTGAAATAGGCTTGTAGGAGACCGCATTGAATAGCTGGAAGTGCCAGCATTGTGAGATATCTAACAAGTAACAAAATGAGATGCAAACAAGTAGAGAAGCCCTCAACTACATGACAATCCCAATGTACAGAAACTGGCTGAACCCAGATAACTATCACATAAAAGGACTATCATGGGTGCAGAAGCTTGCTACCGAGGTGAAGTGAAGGCGAGGATGAGGAAAGTATTTAGAATTCAATCTGATTGTATTTAAACTTGTACCTTCAATACTGGCATATGGCAAGCCCCAGGACCAGGCTCCCTAGTTAGCACAACGCATATACTACTCACTACAAACTAACTAAACCTCCGATCTCATCTCTCAAACATGCCCACTTTATACTCTAACATGAACACTAAATACAAAAACCATTAACTCTAAAGAAAGCTCTTCTCCACCCAGCCTCTCTGTCACACAAGTTATCTATACAAAATACAAAAATCCACTACCTCTACCTGAATGTAACGATGCAAAAACATTACTCCAGAATAGAAACCCACCCCAGCATTCCCACTTAATGATCCCATAACACCCTCGCTGACTACCAGGCATTCTACCCCTAATCCCGAACAAAAGAAACACCTATAGTCCAAGCATGTAGATGTAAAGAAAAGCCATCATAGAGGACGAGGGTTCTCTAACTCAAGAGGTATGAACTATAGTAGATTATCCTCAGAGCACCACAGTAGCAGTGCAGTCTGAATACCTCGGCAAAAGCAACCAGGATAACCATGTTCCCGAGCCATCATTACATGGCTGAACAGATACAGGTAATCAAGTCCTCCTTAAACTCCACAGCTTCATCTATAGGTAGCGAACTGGTGAAAGGGATGATACTTTCAAGTCATCGACAAGTGGCACAGGTGAGTACTAGTCCTATTTGATTGGACTCTTATTGTTTCTCTGCCTGTTCCTACCTCTATACGCAGGTCTAGTAACAGGTGTAAATGGAACACACTCAGTACTACCCACCACCACAGCCACGAGCTCAGCTACAGAGGACTCAAGCACCTGCTACCACGAAGGGGGTGATACCACGTGGACTGGTATCACTACACCATGATCTACCCCACCCACCCGCATAGCATGCGCCTCAACCAGATCTGACGAATCAGGAACTGGTCAACAGTACTACCCACAACTGAAGCTTCAGGAGGGGCCATGATAACTACTGGTATAACATTCTATGGAAGAAGCTTTTTCGCCTGATACTGAGGATTCTCAGGGTCTAGTCTATCTCCTCCAACCAAGACAACCATAATAACTGAAGCGGCAGAGAGGACAGGTAAAGAGTGGATAATGGTAGGAGCTTCAGCTGCCAAAATCATGACCAAACCTTGCAATGTATCGCATTCAAGATGCAGGGTAGCTGACAAGGTAGATATTTTCATCGTGGCGTGATAAGATAGCTGAGAAAGGACA